TGGTTTCAACTTGTGTAACTAAGATTAGCGCCCTCTATTGATTTTTTTATCAATTAATTAGCACAGATCAAATAAATAGGGTAAGTGCTCCTAATACCGGCATGTACCAATAGTCGGCATCTGTTGCATATAACTTCAAATAACTAAAATATCCTATAAACATATATGAAAAATACCTTGAATAATCCTCAATAGCACTGCAAACTATATCTGTACAAATTTTCGGACGAAAATATATATGTGAGCTATATCTTAATATGAACCGATTTTCACGAAACTTAATACATATCATTCTAGACTTAATTGAGTACACTATGCCAAATTGCGTCCAAGTCGAAGGACATATAGAAACATTGGTGCATCATTTACATTAAATCGGACGCAAATGTTATATGGGAGCTATATATAAATCTGAACCGCTTTTCAGGAAACTTGTCACACATCATTCAGTATGCTATTTTGGGGCTTTGGTGCTCCATTAACCTAAAACCGTACGAAAATATATATGGTAGCTATATCTAAATCTGAACCGATTTTAACGGAACTTTGCACACATCATTCCAGGCTTGATTCAATACGCTATGCCAAATTTGGTGTAAATCGAAGCATATATAGGGGCTTTGGTGCACCATTTACCTAAAATCAGACGAAAATATATGGAAGCTATATCTAAATCGGAACCGATTTTCACAAAACTTAACACACATCATTCTAGACATAATTTACTACGCTATGCCAAAGTTCTTGCAAATCGAAAGATGTATAGGTTCTTGCAAATCGAAAGATATATAGGGACTTTGGTGCACCATTTACATAAAATCGGACGAAAATATATATGGGAACTATATCTAAATCTGAATCGATTTACACGAAACTTAAGACACATCATTTGATGCTCCATTAACCTAAAATCGTACGAAAATATATATGGCAGCTATATCTAAAACTGAACCGATTGTAACGGAACTTTGCACACATCATTCCAGGCTTGATTCAATACGCTATGCCAAATTTGGTGTAAATCGAAGCATATATAGGGGCTTTGGTGCACCATTTACCTAAAATCAGACGAAAATATATGGAAGCTATATCTAAATCGGAACCGATTTTCACAAAACTTAACACACATCATTCTAGACATAATTTACTACGCTATGCCAAAGTTCTTGCAAATCGAAAGATATATAGGTTCTTGCAAATCGAAAGATATATAGGGACTTTGGTGCACCATTTACATAAAATCGGACGAAAATATATATGGGAACTATATCTAAATCTGAATCGATTTACACGAAACTTAAGACACATCATTTTACAGTAAATTCAGTACGATATACAATTTTTTTGCAAATCGAAAGATATATAGGGACTTTAGTACACCATTTACATAAAACGATTTTCCCCAAACATATGAGCTGTACCAAATTTCATCCAAATCGGATCATAAATGCGACCTGTACTTTGTTTAAAATTTAACACCATCGGACGGACATGCATAAATGACTCAGAATGTGATTCTATGCATATTCTCTAAGGGAGTCATTTGTCTATCTCCTTTCCTTTTGCATGTTACAAACATATGCACAAAGACATAATACCCTGTACCACAGTAGCAGGGTACAAAAAATAGATATAATCTTTTAATAATTTATTTCATTAAATAAAACCTGAATTTATAAATTCCGCATGTAATAATAATAATAATAATATATACAATTATTTGCATCTCAATTTAAAAATTGTACTTTAATAATGAACACAAATCGTAACATGTTTCATAATATCTTTTTCTGTTACACCATTCTTATGAACCTTGAGCTGGTTCCTTTTTGACTTCGGTATTTGTTGGTGGTGGGTTAAAATGATTCTCAAGTAGTGTTTCACATAAACGTATTTTATCACTATCATTAATTTTTCCTTGGAACATGCCCTCTTTTCCATTACCTTTACCATCTAATATTTCCATGAATTTGGGGCCAAATTCTTCGACTAGCTCTGGATCACCCTTTAATATCATATGACCTTTACCGGGTTGGCGTCCCACGCTTGGTTCAGAAACGGTAAGGAAAAATAATGATATCCCGTCGACAGATACATTTCTCAAAAATGTATTAATGAAGTCGGGTTCAATTCCATCTTTTTTATGCAGACTATAGTATTTGGGCAATGGTTTCGGTAGTGATTCTAATTTTTCAGCTTCCATAATTGCCAAATCTCGCAGAAGTTTCTGAAATGATTTCTTTGTTGCCTTAAGGTTATTCTGTAGTTTTTGTATAAGTTCGACATGTTGCAATGGGCCACCTCTGTAATGAGAAGCAAATTAATATGAATCATTAATTATTATTGTTGTTGTATATGTTTATTTACTTTAAGGCCAAGGTAACTTGCTGCTCTCTGGCAAAACATTTTCCCAATGTTTTTGGTACACGTTGACCAACCACGAAATGTACATAGACACTGTTCTTGTTCTTCTCTTCATACAACAATTTAACACATTGTAATTGGGATAGATTGTTGACATGGGTGCCACAGCACATGTTATCACGCTGACCTTCAATGCGAATAACTCGCACTGGGCCTTCTACGTCTTTGGGCAGACCTCTAGGGGCTCTTAAACCCTGCATCTATATAGGAAATTAAATACTAATAACTTTTTCTTGTTCTAAATGTTATTTGAAATTCCGTACCTGATGCAATGCCTTCTCATCGATCAAAGCCACACTGACCGGTCTACCCTCTCTTATTATATCGTTTGCCATATTCTCAATAACATCCAACGATTCACGGGTGATAACATGTTTGGTATTCAATTCAATGTAGGATGTCTCACTACCCAACCACCACGATGTGGTATCATAGTTAAATTCCTTATCAAACAATTCCGTAATCAAATGTTGACCAGAATGTTGTTGCATATGATCCAAACGTCTTTCCCAATTGACAATTTGCAAGACTTCCGTGCCAACTTCAAGAGCTTTAAATGTCTCAACAAAATGAACCGCTTCCTTGCCTTTACGTATAACACTACGTACTGGAAAACCGTTAATGGTGCCATAATCACAGGGTTGACCACCACCCTCGGGGAAGAGTATGGTATCTTCACATATAACGTTAAAACCCTCTAGTTCGACGGGATCTGCGTCGCCACTGGATGGAAGTTTTAACTTTGCTTCTTCGCATGACACGACTGTGGTTGTGAACTGGGAAAAGAAAATGGATATTATTATAAAGGTATTGGATAAAAAATGTTTCTTTACATACTTGCCGTAGAAAACTATCTTCTTGACACTTAAAAACCATTTTTATCCTCCTGCAATGAAGTCCGAACTTTTGTTTATGATGTTGTTGGTTATGCAAATGCAATAATTTTTGGCAAACAAAACGGTTTGTAAATAGAAATCAGCTGTTTGCTGTTCAAAACGCAGCAAGTGTTACTGCACACGTGTTCTTCTTCTAGGTAGATTAGAACCGGAACCGGTTTCTAAAATTTTTTTACCCGTGTTTTCCAACCGAAATGCCTTTAATTTGGCTTTCTGAATTCATGGCCCATTTAATGGTCCAAATGATTTAATTTTTCAGTTTATTGAAGTTCATATCCCAATTTTTCAATCGAAAGGTGTGTAATTTCCCATTAATGTCTATGTTTTGTCTGGTTTGTCATGTACATCAACAGGTTAGGTTAGGGATGTACGGTTTTTAGTAACAACCGTCCATTCGGAGTCCATTGTGATCATCCTTTGTACCAGAAAAGAAAACGGGATGAGAGAGGAAAAGGAGAGCCTAGAGATGGTTATTTTAGCCATGTAAGATTTTTGACAAAGCCTAGGATCTGGTTGGGGTATATTTTAGAGAAGAAGGCTAGATTATGTTTTCTGCCAATCAGCGGTGGACATCTACAAAGGATATGTTCAATTGTTTCTAGCTCTTCTTCGTACTCACATAGACGACAGTAATCCTCTCCGCTGGAGTCCCATTTCGAAGTGAGATATCTAATCCTCCTAATGATTTTGATCTCTCTCTTTATGTGCCAACAGCGAAAAAGTTATTCGGCGAGAGAATTAAGGCCAGATAGCATTTGAGATTCTCCAACCAGGTTCTCTCGACCATCCGACTGCCTTGCCGTAGGACAAGATTCACAGATCTCTCAATCGGGAGATTGGACGATTTTGAGCCGCTCGATCAAGCTCGTCGGCTATTTCGTTCCCTTCTATGTCACTATGTCCTGGAACCTTACATAAGTTAACTATCCGTCGTATATCATTCAGAACGGACTTGTAATCAAGAACTGCTTTTGATTTTATAGTACACGACTTCAAAGCCTTGAGGGCCGCCTGACTATCGACATATAGTCACCGGTCCCGTATTATCGGCAGTTAGTGTTTTTACTATCTCGGCCGATTTGATGATAGCAAGGATTTCTGCTTGAAAAACGCTACAAAGATTGTTAATGTTATATGAAAAATTACATACGTGGCAGAGGTAAGTAAGCCATAAGTCCAGGATTCCCTACTAGGAAACTCTACTTTGATGTCATTAAAGTCTCTACGAGAGGGAACATAGTAACTAATGTGAATATTTCTCCTCAAGAAATCACAACCTGGCGTTATGTTCAGCGATTTCCAAACATTATTTCTCGGAGCCTCAGGGCACACCTGGGCGCCTGGAATTTAATCAGAATGTCCAGTGGCTTGAGATTCAAGATCACATTCAAGGCTGCCTGTGGTGTACTTCTTAGCGCTCCGGTAGTCAAGATCGAAGCCGATCGCTGCACAGAATTTCATTTTGTCAGAAGTATCTTTGGCCCACAAAATTCCTCAAAATTTTAATTTAATAATTTCAATTTGGCATATTATTTTTATTTGAAAACGTTTTTTGAACTATTCCAATGGAGCTTAACAAAAATGAAGATTGTTTTCATTGTTGGAGGGGCAATTTAAATTTAACCCACGAAAAAGTTAAATTAAACAATCCAAAATACTGCTGGCTGTATCCAAAACATGAACGCAAAGAATTGAAAAATATTTTGCCAAATTTTGAAAATTGCAAAACCTCCATTTATACGAAATGTGATTATTATTTAGAGAAGCATGCACATGAGATAATATTACATTTGGAGAAACTACTTAAGGCCTATAATGAACTAACGTATAAAGAATTGCAATCTCAAAATCAATTGATAGATGATATATGGGTAAATTCGCAAAAGTATTTAATATTATCAGGGTAAGTAATGCAATTTATTCTGGAATATATGTAAATGTTCAGAAAGTTCATTCATTCACCATTATAACTTTATTTACTTCAGAAATGGACTTTGTGTTAAACCCTATCCAGATATTATATCACGTAGATATGAACAGGAACTAATGCATACAATTTGCAGTAAAATAAATAAAATTCACAAGTCTATGTAAGTTATGTCGGAGACATAAAATCATAAAGATTATAGTTTTGAACCCTGATCTTTAAATTTATACAAATTATATACTTAATGGAGTTTTAAATATTAACATGTCTATGTAAGGACAAAAGCCTTTACATAATATATATTTTTGTCACTTCTTTACAGTTTTTATGTCTTTTAGTATATATTACTTATTATATGAATCTAAATTAAAAATATAATTATATTAATTATCAGCGATCGCCTTGCTAAATCCTTGTCAAATATAAACACACAAATGATCGAACTAAAGAAACGCTGTAGTAAATTGGATCATAATGTAAATAGTCCATTTATACTGGGAACATATAATCTGAAATCATTGGGCTATACACGGAAACTAATTGAAGACCTCTATGAATATTTCCATAAGCAATTGTGCAAATTAAAATGCTGGGCTCAATTAATTGCACCCGAAGATCCAGTATCTATTGAAGATTATAGAACATTAATACATCCCTGTAAGGAATATGAAAATCGCATTATGGAGTATTTAGATTCATGTAAATGTATGCGTTCCAAGAGAATTAATTGTGTAAACGATAACAACTAAAAATTATATTATGTAACCGAAATTTATATAGCGATTCAAAAATTAAACGAAAACTGTTAACATTTTGAAAATATTTAATGTTGCTGTTAGTCTATATTTAAAATATGCCTATAATATTCAGGATTGCCTCAATTTGTGTAGGCATATCTATACCAAAGTAGATCCTGGAAAAAACAAAGTATGTATCAAAAATATTCTCTTAGAATTTGAAATGACAATTTGCCAAAGTTATAGTCAAAATAAATATAATCGGACGATATAGTCCCATGGAGCCTATACCCCAAAGTAAGCCTATATTAACATGTTCGGGTTTGGTTTATACTGCTGGGAAGCTTTGATAGTAATTTGGAATAATATTTTCAATTCCCTTTACGCTTTATCCGTGGTATATTCGTCAACAGTCAACCGAGAAGGTATTCAGCAGCATGCATTCTGTTTCTCCACAATCCTCTGCATTTGCTCCAAATTAGGATGGACCCACAGAAATGTCACGTGCGGTCATATAGCAATCAATTACACTCGCTGATCCTTCCATCACCTTCGGCCTTGTCAATCATGGGAACTCTATGATTATCTGGTACCATCTGTCGTGTTGCCCTTTCAATCGTCAGAGGAGACCTTGATGGCCTTCTGCCAATCAGCGATCTATATTTGCAGAGGATGTGTTCAATTGTTTGTAGCTATTCTTCGTCCCCTCAGTAATCCTCTCCGACGGAGTCCCATTTCGAAGTGAGAGTTAAAATCCTGCAGTGACCTGTTATCATCCCCACAATGATTTTGATCTTTCTCTTATTATGAACCAACAGCGAAGTTCTTTTGCGAGTGAATTCAGGCCAGTAGATTTTGAGATTCTGCAACCAGGTTCTCTCGACTATCTGTTACCAACCACCTCGCCGTAGAACAAACGGATTTTGCCAATGAAATAGCCAATGGGTGGTTTCACAGATCTCTCAATCAGAAGATTGGACGACTGTGAGCCCCCTCGAGCAAGCTCGACGGCTATCTCATTCCCTTCAAATGTCACCGAAGGCTGGACTTCTTTTAACAACAATGTTGTCTTTAAATCTGGTTGCTGTTCCTCCGTCCATCTCATTCCCTTCATTGAGGATGAGGATACAGGGACTTTGGAACATCAATTACCTAGAATCGGACAAAAATTTTTATGGGAGCTATATCTAAATCTGAACCGAATTTCACGAAACTCAGCACACATTTTAGACACAATTCAAGGTATAAATATCAGGAATTAGCGGTAAATAAGCTGGTCGAATCGAAAATATGAACTACCCCGACATTAATTATCGAGAGTTCACTGTATGCCCTATATTATAGTACGTTTACATTTGACCGGATTTCGTTAACCCAGTGGGTTTCAATTGTCAATTCCTTTGCATATATGTCAAATAAATCCTCATAAAGTAGGTTAATACGGCATTTACATTAGAACTTTTTAACGGGTTAACCTACTTTATGAGGATTTATTTGGCATATATTCAAAGGAATTGAAAATTTAAACCCACTGGGTTAACCAAATCCGGTTCAATGTAAACGACCTTTAACCCGGAAAAAGTTCAAATGTATATGCCGTTTTAGATACATATTTTTTTTTTAAATCCACGCTTTATTTTATACTTCATGCTTTTGGAAAATAATATTCTTCAAAAAACAGACGCTTTGAAATATTCCTAGAGAAATTCACGACGTTAGTTTTTGGAAAAACATTGTTTAACAAATTTACTTTGATATCAAGAAGTAAATTCGGATCATATTTTTGGAAGGTGGTATTCGGGTCAGCGTTATTTTGGCGACAAAACTTACGTTACGTTATAATTTGCTCTGTAAGTTGTTACGTATTTGAATAACTAATTTCGAACCATTAAATGTCAAAATTGAACTGTCATGAAACAAACAAAAACAACAACACGATGTCAAAACATTCAAAATATTTATTTTATGTTTGTTTATAAAATTGGAATCGGCAAAAATGGGCGATAATCAAAAACAACCATACAATGAAATTGAACAAGAAATCTTGGGACAAATCTTGATATTGGAAAAAGAATTCCGTGATCACAATACCTTGATGAAAAATGAACTTGTACAGCAAAAGGAATTGATCTCAAGATTATGGGTGTTATCACAAAGATACATTTTACTTATAAGGTTAGAAAAATAATATTTAAATATTTGACCTAATAGATAATAACACACTGTATCTCACAGCACTGGACCATGTTGTAAATTTCCGGAAATATATGCTGGTCCAGCAGAGGAGACAATTCTACAGGAATTCTGCGATAAGCTAAAGGCTGTTAAATCGTCCAAGTAAGATGAAATTCACATAAATAAATTTTAATTAACTGTCAATTGTTTTGGGTTAATTTCAGTTGCCGCATTTCCGTCTCCCTGTCCGAGCTGCGTACATCACATCGTCTGTTTGAGAATTTATGTCGAAAATTGGACATGAACGTTCAATCGTTACTTATAACCGGTGATGCCTATCACAAACCTTTGGAATATTTTATTGAATTAACCAGTGACTTATTTAAATATTTTCATGCGTGGATTTTAAAATTGAAATATACTTCAAATTTAATTGATCCGCTCAAATGTGAAGGCATTGAACATTATAAGACATTACTGGAACCTTCAGAGGACTTTGAAGAATACCTTAATGTCGGCTTGACCTATTGTAAATGTTTGAGACCAAAAGCCACGTGCTAAATTGAAATATATATGATAAATGTACATGTATTTTATTTGGTATATTTTTTTAACAAATCTGTGATATACATATCAATATAGAGAACGTGTAGAATCGTTTACACAAAAAATATATATGAAATGACAAAACTGATTAAAAGGAATATGATTGCATTACTGATAATACAAAATATAAGTAGTTAAAACGGCATATACAATAGAACTTTTTACCGGGTTAACCTACTCTATGAGGATTTATTTGGCATGTATACAATGGAATTGACAATTGAATTAAAAGCTACTGTAGCTCTAAGCAATTTGGAAAATATATTAAATATATTATATATAAAAAGCTACTGTAGCTCTAAGCAATTTGGAAATATGTTATTTGCTTTGATAGCTAATTACAAAATATTCTTATTAAAAACTTAACTATTTATTTGATTCTTGAAACAATATTCTTAATTCTCTTTTAAAAGTAATCATTAATTAAAAAAAAGTATTCTTTACAAAATAAAAAATATATATGTATATTGTCCGCGCATTGATAGCTCTTTTGGGAAAATATTAAAAAAATAAACACATGATAGCTACTTGAAAAAAAATATTTTAAATTAAGGCATTGGTCCTTGATCCTTGGAAAAATATTCTGTAAAAATCTCATCTTTAATAACCCATTAGAAAAAAGTCTTTAAAGGATCCTTACAAAGTTATATGATAATTATTTATCATATTTAGTTATTGGAAATTTATATTTATTTGGGATAAAATACAAAAAATGTTGAGGGAATTTTAGATGATTTTAATTGCGACAATTTTTAAATTGTTTTTGTAACTTGTGTATAGCTTGAAAGTAAAAAATGGGTCGTAATTTGGTATTGAATAAATTCTGAAAGCTTCGTGGTCAAGAATTTAATATATCGAGGACATCATTGTATCCACATATTAGTTGCACGACAATGAGACGCCTTTGGTGTTGCACCATTCGAAATAGCAAAAATATGTTGATTTATGATTTAGTTTCCATGGATTGGATTCAATCACGTTAAGACCTGAAAGACGATCTATCAATATACGATGGTTGATATATGATATATCAGACCTCATGCTAGACGGTATTTTCATGGAGGTAAGAACGGTTGTCATCGGGATGGGTCTCCTACCTCTGCAGGCGATAAAAAATGCCCCAAACTTTATCCCTAGATGTCACGTTCTAAGTGATGAAGTGGGTGTGGTTTTTGGTTCGTGGGGATAGATCTTACTTTGACAGAAATAACAAGTGTATCGTAGGCTGCCCGTATGGTCAGTGTCACCGAAATTCCATAATGGAAGTGAGAAAATATATCTTTATGTTCAAACCATCTGGAATACATGTGCTAAGAACTAGATCACTAACTTCAGCGGTCAGATGCACAACTACTTTGTCATTCAGGCTGTCGGACCCGCAGCTCGAGGAAGAATTCAGCTCGGCAAAATATAGGGATTAACAACTTCAGAATATATGGTACGGACTGATGTCCTCTTAATCTCAAAAAAAATTGAAATTCAGCTGGTACGGCAAAAATGTTCCTCATAGAAATATTGGATTTATGACCCATGTTTTTTTTTTTACCAAATCCGTTTCAGACAATGTAGAGTCGATTTACAAATGTCCGTTTGTCTTGCCGGCTGGTGCGCACGATAACTCTCGAAAGAAATAACCGATTTCATCCAAACTTTGCACATCGTAATATTTTTTCTAAACTTAAATCAAGTTTGAAGAATACGTGTGCATCTACCTAAAGCGAACGGAATATCCGATTTCATTTCATAGATCAAGTTCGAAGGTAGGATCCGTCGGTCCTCTCCTACTGGGACCTCACTCTCAAAATGAGCAAAATTTGGCTGAAAATTAATTTTATATCATCTCGGGAAAGGACTATCCGATTTAAATTAAATTCTGTACAACCTAATATTATAACCAAGACTGTGTAATGTTTAAAGATTAGACCCGTTGGTCTACTCCTTCTCGTACCTTCTGCACAGGATCAAATTTTTTTAATTCAATATTAAGCGAATTGTTCCAAACGCTGCAAATTGTTATACTTTTGTCAAATCAAAATCCTTAAAACCTCCCACTCAAAATAATAAAGACAGTGTTTAATTCCGTAGACCTTCGCAAACCTTCGGCAACGCCAACTTTATTACTTGTTTTGTAGGGATTTGACATTTATTTGAATATGGATTGGGACAAGTTGAGTTTAGGGGCTCATTTCGGTTTTTTCTGAAATGTTTACTTTTTCTAAATAGTCACCAATATTACCATCATCGGTTCATAAATGACGAAGTTATGAACATATAAATTCCGGAATTTCAGAGGCCCATATCTCGGTAATGTATGGACTTCCCCTTCTTGGAAAAATCCAAGATGAGCCCCTAAACTTAACTGAAACCAGTGATTGTTTTCGGATCAATTTCATAACAATCGGACAAAAATTAAACCTGTATTTTGATTATAGAAATACTAGGTTTGTTTATCCAAGTTTTAGGGAAAAGTTGTGTTCTGAGGCTCAAGAAAACCATTATAGACCACAGAAACATCTATCTTCCTCTATTCCCGTCCCTTTCATCTTTTACTTTTCAGGTACTTATTGGGGATGGGCATAATGGACCAAAGGTCTTCGAGTGAAGACAATTAAAATGTAATTACATATTTCATATAATCGAAAAATCTTAAATCCTCGACCGATAGCTGTCCATAAAAACAAACTAAAGGTTGGGCACCTATTATTTCATAGGATACACTGAATTTTTCAAATAATAAAAAATATATTGTTGGAATCCGGACCTCAATAGCTCTAAAGTGATCAAATGATTCGCGACCTTGACTGGTTCCAAGTCGATTCTACATATCATTATCATCATTGAAGGATCACGTGTATCATTATTGAGTCAATTCAGGACATCAAATAAATTCTAAATTTAATATAAAAACGACCAATTATTTCAGCAATTATGATGGTAGAACACCCATAGCATTTGTTCCATACAATGTCCCAGAAGACTATATAGATCCTTTACTTAATTTCCAGGGAATAATGATCCACATTTTATCCTTATAATGATCTGAAATTTGAAAATAATGCATTTAGTGTGGGATTCAAAAAAAAGTTTATACCAGCTAATCCAACTATGTCTATTTTGGACCAGTGTTGATCAAACATGATCATTGTGCAAATACTGTTTGTGGCACACATGAGCAATTCAGGATATGCAAAAACAATGTGTAGTTTCTTGTAGAAGAATAGAAATTAACAATTTCTCAAAAGACCGGCAAAACATGTAGCATCAGAATTGGCTTGGATCAATTATTTTCTGCAAATTATAAGTTCGACAATCAATTAAACAAATAATGATTAACTTGATAACAAAGAAGCATGGTTTTTGTACACAAACAACAACAGCACCAACAAATTACACGCCGCCTCACTTCCAACCCGGGCGTCCACACTATTATAGTACATCACAAAAACAATAAAACACACTCTTGATTTTTGTATTTATTACATCTTCAAAGCTGTCCAGAGGGGACTTTTGTTATTTTTATTGTAAAAACATGTGTTGTTGTTGATTTCTTTTTGGTAACAATTATAATACATCACTGAAACTTTTATATTTAATATAAAATAAAATCCATATCAGCAATGAGTCCAAACAAAAGTGTAACTTCCTCCTCCATGCAGCCTTGACCACAAATACACGGCCTTTTAGCGAAGTCTTCTGGCTTCACGTTCAGATTCCAACAATGTCAAGATATCGCCTTCACGTACGGGTCCCTTAACGTTGCGGATAATTTGACGGTTTTGTTCACCGATGAACTCCACTTTGACTTGGGTACATTGACCTTGGGAGCCAGTGCGGCCCAAAACTTTGATAACACGTGCCCAAACAACTGGTTTATCCATATTTATTTAAAAAATTTGTGATTTTTCTATAAAAAAATTCACGTGTGACACACGCACAAAGTGACAGCCGGAAACGAAAAGAAAGAATTTTTCGTTAATTTTTGGCGAATTTGTTTTGTTTCGTCGAATTTTCGTTCAGTGTGGCATTAAATGTCAAATTATTCACCGCAGCAGAGTTGTAATTGTAGTAGACAATTGATTGATAGCACAAATATAATGGGTGATTCAGAGTGAATTAGTTTCAAATTTAATAATATTAAAAACTAACTTTATTATTAATTTTACTTTGATTATTATTATTTATTGTACATGTAGTTGTCAAAAATTGATTTTACGATAAAGTGTTTGTTATCCTAGAAACAACTTTAAGGCTTTTCAAGTAACAAAGGAAAGAATTAAAAAAATGTTTAAGCTGCTGTGAATCACAGAAACTCTTAAACCTTTAGGACCAATGTTTTAGAATTTATATCTAATATATTTTTTGGATTATATGTAAAAAATGTTGATGAAGTTATGCGCTTTTCGATATAAGAAAAAGGTCAAAAATGTGTATACAGTCGAATTATTTAAATCGCTTCATATTCGAATTGCACCCTCCGCATTATTGTTAATTCTTGTAAAAAAATTAAAGGGACCCCCGCTTCCCCATTCTCGGTGACAAAAAATTTAATTTAGTTTTTTGATTTAATTCGCATCTACACCAATTAAAGGATGTCTCTGCAAAATTACAAGGGAAAATCTCCAAAACTCTTGAAGATATAGCCGATTTATTGTGTCAGCATGAAGTGGCAGCAAGAGTGATTAAACGTATTTTTTTTTTTCGAAGCAATGTTTTTACGACCGGCGGGCACGATAACTCAAAAACTAATAATCCAATCGGTTCTAAATTTTGCCACGTTTCTCAGGAAGTGTATAGCTCTCGTATGAACTAGGATAAAGCCTATTGGTGAAAAACTTCATTTTTTAACTTAGTTTGTGGTCAAAAAAAGGTCCGCCATTTTGTTAATTTTTGAGATAATGTCAGTAATCCTAGATCATACGAGTGAGATGTACTATTTCTAACACCGTTGGAATTTCCGGATTCCGATGTTCCAGGGAGAAGTTATCATGCCCGCCATCAAAAATAAAGATTTTTCTTTAATCACCAAAAACAACAACAACCAAATTTTGCTAATTATTTTTCTTCTCTTTTAAATTTTTAAGTATATATGTGTAAAGTTACAAACCTTAAAATGGATTGGTATTCCTTTACCAGACCAATGAAATTCTTGAAAATTTAAAATCGAAATTTAATTTTAAATAAAAAAAAAACGTAGCGACATCAAACTTAGCCCATTTGAACACCAGAATAAAAGATGTATGTGTAGCAACAATTTTGACATACATACAAAATGTCGTATGGAAAGAAAAACTGACAGTACAGATGACAATAAAGGCTTGTTTAACAATAACTTTAATCAGCAGGGTATATTTTAATCACGATAAGAAACAATACATCTTTCCTATAATTTGCAAATGTTTTCATCCGTTTTAATATTTTTGATTTTATTTTTATAATTATGGCTGTTACCTTCTACAATTGATACCGTGATTAGGCCTATCCTGATTTCAACAGACATACTTTATGGGTCTTCAGTTACATTTTTAATAACAGCGGCTTTGCTATAACAGTTGATCACTATAATCAAGCTAAATTTAAAACAAATTTAAATCATGAATACGAAAAAATACATCTCTCCCACAAAGAACCAAAATTTGTAACTATTTTCATATGATATTTGTTTTTATATTCAATGCGTGCTAAATGCAAACACGAAAGAAACTAAATATTATTACATTTAGAAGGAACATTTCAATAATTATAATTTTTCTTTCTATTTTCCAATTCTAAACAACAACTTAAGGCGAAGATGAATAATTTTGTATGTACAGGGTCTATTTAAAATGTACTTTAAACGGTATTTACATTCGAACTTTTTGCAGCGTTAACCTGCTTTATGAGGATTTATTTGACAATTAGGCAATGGAATTGACAATTGAAACCCACCGGGTTAACTAAATCCGGTAAAATGTAAACGTACACTTAAAACGTATCATTAAAGTTTTAATATTTGACATATTGAACCACCCTGTTGAAATCAGTTGGTGTTCCGCCGTTCTGCAAGAATTTACTTATTTTTATTATTTTGTTCAATATCATAAGTGAAAAATTGTTATCGTGGTAAAAAATGGTACATTCTTGTAGTACGGGAACAGACCAAGCATGGTACAATAATACAAGGTAGGGCAGCTTGAGGTGAATAACAAAAAAACAACCATCCACGTATGGCTTCTTCTGCCAAAAATAGAATAAATACGCGCAACAAGTGTTTGTGTTTATTTGACATTTTTTCAACACAAAACTAAAAACGCGAAAAATGAATGAAAGGTTATGATTTCTTCCCAAAATCCATCCATAACAAATTAAATACTTTCAGACGAACGTGTTAAAAACATAATTTTAATTTCAATTAAATTTGAATATATTTATTTTGATCAATTTATTTTGAATTTATTTGACATAGTATTTAAAACAATACACACACATACACAAAATATATATTTTGATTTGATGGAACAAGCCGCCTTGAGAAAAAATTGTAATCAGTTGGTAGCTGTGCCCTACCTTGTAATAATTATACCATGAGACCAAGTACCTTAAACAGAAGTAATATTAAAAAACAAAAAAAAAATAATAAAGTCTAGGTTTATACATGCAACTTTCGTAAGCAACTCTCCTGAGTCTATGGACCAAAGGAATAAGAATTGTAAATAATTTGCTCTTTTCATATAAGAACAATTTTGTATTCAGTATACATTTGAATTTCGAGCAAATTGATAGGAAGTTCTGTCATTGTTTAAACGCACCTTGAAGTGTTCGTAGCAGTTCGTTGTGAAACGAAATAATTTGGAATTACCCTGTTATATCTACCAATAATAGCTGCATTCCAATCATTTTAACCAGAGAAAGGGGGAGAAAATTTGGAAACAATGTGCTCTTTCTATAATGAAATTTCTCCCACTGGTCTGTTCCCGTACTGCAAGAATCTACTAGTTTTTACTATTTTCTTCGATATCATAAGGGAAAAAAGTGTTATCGTAGTAAAAAGTAGTAGATTCTAGCAGTACGGGACAGGAACAAGTCCTTGTCCAAACTAATGTAATTTCAAGAAGCAAAGGAAAGCCAGGAAAAGAACCTACGTACCCACCATTATGGGAGGCGTTTCGCCGTTGGTTATGTGGCTCATCAGGCATATTGGGCTATGTGGCTTTACAAAGGTCGTATGTTGATAACTTGTATTTATTCCGCCCTGATGCGAAACTTGCATATGCGAATTAAATTCAAATTTGTCGAAGTTCGACATTTGTCTTTATTAAAGGAACAATCCTTTTCAAAGCAGATTTTTGTTGTAGCGATGGATAATTAATCCACACACCTACAATTGCTTCCATGGTATACACATGTTTTTTGCGCAACCGTTTTAGAACGTTAAGTGGTCTGGAAACATTTGTATTGCTCCGAGGACCGCAACAACAAAAATCTACTTTGAAAAGGATTGTTTCTAGAATGAAGACAAATGCCGAACTTTGACAAGTTTGAATTTAATTCGCATATGCAAGTTTGGCATCAGGGCGGAATAAATACAATTTATCAACATACGACCTTTGTAAAGCCACATAGCCCAATATACCTGATGAGCCACTTAACCAACGGCGAAACGCATCGCATAATGTTGGGTACGTAGGTTCTTCTTCTGGATTTCCTTTTCATTGCAAAACTTAAATCAGCTCGGTTCGAAAGATTAAAAATAATCACTTAAAAAATTACTTTCAAATGATCACTGCCCTTACAAGGCAAAATTCAAATAACAAAAAGTAAATACTTTTATATACCATTAGTTTCAACAAAACTACTCAAGTGTGTTCTTCTTTAAAAATAGTTTCAAGTAGCCCACAATGGCGTGGATATTTTATAAAATAAAACATGTTTTATAATATAAAATATTTTCAAAAGCTCTACAAATGTGTGTATATTCTTCAAAAAAATATTTTCAAGGAGTTAAAAATATAATTAATATATGTTTAATATATAAATGTATCATATATAAAAAAAATAGGTTTAATTTTCATATTAACAAAATATTTATTTTCATGATAAAAACCCAATTTATACGTAACACCCTGTTAACATTGACAACAACTTCATGATTTCCAGACACTTCCCAAACACCAAATGTCAAATTCAACCATATTTGACAACTCGGACACGTATGAAACATTTCGTTGATGACAACAACAAAACTTCGTTTGTGTGTTTTCTACCATACTTCGGCTTTCATACGTTTTTCTGATTTCGCTGCCGTCACATCAGTCACATACGGGAGCGTGTGAGTCGCGGCATAGTTTTGTGTGGTTTATTTTGATCTAGTTAGTGGACAACAGTTAACAAAAAAAAAGCAAAATGAAAAATTATATGTTAATTTTATTGTTGGTTCTGCCAACTATCATCTGCACTTTCAATGCACGTAAGTAAATAAATAATTTATTAACAAAATTTTATCAAATCAAAAGCGATATTTGTGTGTAATGAGAGATAAGTGAAGAGAAGACATTGACGTTGTTGTTGTGTTGCTTGCATTGCAGAGAATCGAGTGCCGACGTAATTTGACGTGGCAGAAACCCAACGACGACTTCAATGTTTTTGACAATTGGGAAAAGTGTTTTCGTCATTTGACGATTAATTAAATTGTTATTTTTGAATGAAAATTAAAGAAATAATTCAAAATTATTAAAAAATAGATTTCAAAACTTATCGTTTGATGTGTTGGCATTGATTTGACTTTGATAAATCGGTTACCTTCTAGCAATTAACCTTGTTCAACTTTCACTTTGTAGCCAACAAATTTTCCGCCTTTGCCGAGGATGTTGTTGAGGATGATATTGTCGATGCCGATGGTGATGATGGTTCCGTAACTGGTGAAGATGCCGAAACTGAAGATGATTCTGAGCCCCTACAAACGACATCGCCCTATGCCGACACCTTCTTGTTGTTTACCAAGCCCACCTACACCCCTGGCCAACAATTGGATTTGCCCGGTGGCAAGCCTGTTGAATTCTTGATCGGTTTCACCAACAAAGGTCCCAATGATTTCGTCGTTGAATCTGTTGAAGCTTCTTTCCGTTATCCCATGGACTTCAACTACTACATTCAAAACTTCTCTGCCATCGCTTACAACCGTGAAGTCAAGCCCGGTTCTGAAGCTACCGTTTCCTACTCTTTCTTGCCCTCTGATCAATTCGCTGGCCGTCCTTTCGGTTTGAACATTGCCATGAACTACCGTGATTCCAATGGTGTCCAATTCAGTGAAGCCGTCTTCAACGAAACCGTCTTGATCTCCGAAGTTGATGAGGGTCTTGATGGCGAAACCTTCTTCTTGTATGTCTTGATGGCTGGTGTTGTTGTTCTGCTCTTGGTCATTGGTCAACAATACTTGTTGGGCTCCTCTGGTAAACGTAAGCGTTCTGCTGCCAAGAAGACTATTGAAACTGGTACCACCAACGACAGCACAATTGACTACGAATGGTTGCCACAAGAAACTTTGCGTGCTTTGCGTAAGTTATTTTTAATATTTTAATCATTTGATATTTTTAATAAAATATTTCTTTTTCATTACAGAAAAATCTCCACCCAAGTCAAAGACACCCAAAACATCGCCCAAACCCGGCAAACAAAGCAGTCCCAAGCAAACACAAAGTCCCAAACCCAAAAAGGCTGTTAAACAACAATAAGATGTAGTAGCTTTACAATAATAAGATCATCAACAAATTTTTCAACACCACCACTCACACCTCAACATAACAATCAATGTTCATATAATTTATCATTACTTCTACTTCATATCGAAAGTTTTTCTTCTTGAGAATTTTTTTGAGATTTTGTTATTTAGGAAGAGCTCACTCAATGGAGACGATAAGCCAGGCCGCTAGTAAGAGATGATGATGTCTTCCTTTTAATGTTGAATTATTAGAAAAAAAAAACAGTTACGGTTTTATGGCTTTTAAAAAAATTCCCCAACTATTTTTAAGCCGACTTTTTTTATATATATAAATTATATTGAAAATGTATTGTCTTCATTTATAGAAGGCATATTTTCCTATTTGTGTTTTTTTGTAAAAAATATAAAGGAAAACAAATGTAAAAAGACTAATTTTTTTAATTGTGAAATAACTTACTAAGCGGTATATTCTTATATGTCCCAGTTTGGTATAAGAAAAAATGTTAACAACGAACATTTCTTATACCATAACTACGAAATTATTTTATTTCTTAATCATTCTGTAAAGTCAAACTTAATGCACTTGACATTCTTAAAACAAACAAAAAGAAATCCTTAGAGTAATTATTTTTTAATAAAAAAGAAAAAAAACAACAATATGCAGTTTTGTATTTTGTTTATAAAATGAGGGGGGTTTAATTTAGCATAGTGTTCTGATAGAGATAATAGGCTTGGTAATAAAGGTTTACATTTCATACGAATTTTCGAATTTTTTTTCAAATATCGTGTATTATCTTTGAACAGAAAAAAAACTGCGCATAGTAGGTACTTAGGTACACATTTCTAAATAATTTATGTCTGTGCATTTTTATACTCTCCCTTTTAGACTTATTCTAAACAACATTTGACCGATTTTTTTTTTACTTCACACCCTTCTAGTCATTCTACTTTCCAAAACAAAATGTTTTTATGGTTGAAAACTATAAAACGGCATTTACATTAGAACTTTTTACAGGGTTAACCTACTTTATGTGGATTTATTTCAAATATATACAATGGAATTGACAATTTAAATCCAATAGATTTAATAAATGCGGTGCAATGTAAAAGTACTATAATGTAATAATAGTACAGTAACCACACAATAACTTGTACCATGTAAAATTATAAACTTAAATAATTTATAACAATGCAGACATATTTTATTATCGTCAGGATCGAGTTTTTTTTTATCACGATATACTTAGAAGGCGGCTATCCTTCGATGGCAGAATATAAAAAGGGGGTTATATGGGGATTACCCCTAAACGGGATTAGGGGTTATATAGGGATCACCCCCCTAATTCTTGGGAGGTACATTTGTTACCATATACGACTTCAAAATACCAACTTTCAGCGAAATCGTTTGAAAACGCGCTCAAGAACTCCAAAATACCAGAAAAAGAAGACCTATATTTTTAAATTTTTAGTGGGGAAATTTACTGTCCAAAAAGAACCAAATGTACTAAATTTCAGCGAATTCGGTCGAAAAAATCGCTCAAGAACTCTAAACTACCGACAATTGGGGGTACCCCATGGTATAATAATAGAAGGTAACAGCAAGTGTTGTTGTACAAAAAACGATACAACAACCACATGGAAATTTGTTGTTGTAAGTTCTACTAGTGTCAACTCATTTGACAGAAAAATGTAAACAAACAAACAAATTATCATCAAATTATTTTTATTTTGAAAATGAAATATTTTCGAATCCTCAAAATAAAAATTGAAAAACATGAATGAAAATCTATCAAATTTATATTTCTATCGCTTCCACATCTTTCCTATAATTGAGCCATTGCCATATATATGTGCAACACATATGAAAATGCTGGGAATAGCGAGCTATTCCTTGAAGAAAGATTTGCTTCCTCAAACTTTCCCAGCAGGCAGATTGAATACGGGAGCACATTTAATAAAGAACAATTTCAAATTGTATGCGTTCCCAATTTTCCTGTTGGGTGATTTTTAAAAACATAATTTGTCAAATTCATATTGACACTAGTATTACGTTGGAATCAAATCAGCTGGGATTTGCTGTTACCTTTTATAACTGTACCATGGGGGTACCCTTATATGGGGGCTACCAGAAAAAAATAGACCTATATTTATAAATTTTTAGTGGGGAAATTTTGTGCCCAAAAAGAACCACATGTAAATAAAATCAGAGGTCTGCACACAAAATATATATTTTTATTTTATAAGCTTAAGCTTATCTCTAAAAACGTTTAATATTGTTCTCTCTGTTGTTATGATCAAAGACATAGAAACCGTAAAGACTCGACAAAATGCATTTTGGCAAAATAGTTTATGAAAAAATATCCAAGGGGAATCAGGTATAACAGAGGCATGTTAACAATTAAAACGCCAATATGCGATAATGTGTTTATAAAATGTAATTAAAATCGGAGATCTGCACTAAAACTATTTTTTTTATTTAATAAGCTTATGATATAGCATTAAAAACGCTTAATATTGTTCTCTCTGTTGTTATGATATCGTAACAACAGAGGAAAAGCCATCTGTTGGAAATTGATGAAATTTGTCGAGTCTTTACGGTTTCTATGTCTTTGATACCGAAGAGGAGGTCCACGTTACGAAATACATGTTTAACCCTCCAAAGAACCGGTATCACCCTGTTAAATAGGTTAGACATAAAAGGCAAATTTGGTTTAGCATGTTACAAAACCTTTGAATGTGTCACCCAGTAATTTGTTATAACCTGAAGCACTATGTGAATGGATGATGCACCCTGTAGCCTTTTATTAGAATGCTTGGTATCCTCCAATAAGCGTGTATTTTTAAAAAAAAAAAATATTTTCTGAACGACCCACATATCAATAAGCGCGGATTTTCTGAGGGACCCATTCACCAATAAGCGTGGATTTTTATATAAGAGTGTAGTTTTTGAGAATAAGCGTTTGTTTTTAAAGAATATTTTTAAGGGACCCACAGAACAATGATCGTAAAGAGTAAGTAAAGAGTACATTCCGAAGGGTCCACAGACCTATAAGCACGGATTTTTTTAAAGAATGTTCTCTGAAGGATTTTTTAAAGAATATTTTCTGAAGGACCCACAGACAAATAAGCCTAGATTTTTTAAAAAATATTTTCTAAAGAAAGTGCGTGGATTTATAAAGAATATTTTCTCAAGGACCCGCAGACCAATAGGCGTGGATTTATAAAGAATATTTTCTGAAGGACCCACAAACCAAAAGGCGTGGATTTATAAAGAATATTTTCTGAAGGACCCACAAACCAATAGGCGTGGATTTATAAAGAATATTTTCTGAAGGACCCACAGACAAAAATGTGGGGATTAAAAAACTCTCAAGGGTCAACACAACAATTAGAGTGGGTTCTTAAAGAATATTTCCCTAAGGACCCGCACAACATTAAACGTGAATTTGTAAAGAATATTTCTCAAGGACCCGCCGACCAATAAGCGTGGATTTTTAACGAATTTTTTGTCATGGACCCACACAGCAATAAGCATTGATATTAAAAATATTTTTTGAAGAACCCGTCATCCAATAATCGTGGATTGTATAAAAATATTTTATGTAGGACCAACAAACCTACAAGTGCTGTAATTTTATTTTATGAATATTTTCATTGTGTGTTAGAAAGAGAACCGGAACACCAAAGAGAAAAAAGCACACAAAGTTCTCCAAGTGTCTTCCCCTTTCAAACGAATACCCCCGAAACGGAAGGAGAAATTCGACGATTTTTACCTTTTTACCTTTTAAGGGTTGCTTGTAGTTGTGTTGCTTTAAGTCGAGAATATGTGTTTGTGTGTATACGCGACAAAACTACAAATCTCTACCCCCAGCTCCCTCACCCACAATACGAACACTGTTTACATTTTTTAACAGGTGGTGGTAGTCCGATGACGTTCAACAATTGTTTTGTCAAAGTTAACGGAATTGTTGTTATATATGTCTGACACGACAACAAAAGAATGTGTATTGTCGGAGATAACAGTGCTATGTTACAGCCGACGACAGGTTAACAGTAGCTTAACGGTTTTCTTAATTCAAAATATATCATTCGCGTTTATGTTGTTGTCCGAAGCGGTCACAAATAGCGGATATTTTATTGTGCGGTTAGAAAACAAAGTAATCAATTTAAAAAGGTGTTACTTCTTGAGTTATTATTTGTGAAATAAAATAAAAAGGAAGAAATATTAAAAATAAAATTATAAAAGAAAATCCAAGTGGAAAAATAAAAATTTATAAAAAAATTGAAAATTCAAATTTCAAAGAATATAGACATAAAAGAAAGCCGAAATAAACCAAAAAGTGCAAAATTGAAATTCAATTAGAAAATATAAAAAATAATATTTTTGAGTGCTCCAAAAATATTGTCTCAAGTGAGTGTAAAACACTAAGTCAAGTTCTTTTCCACACAACAAACACACCCATAACTCACGTTCAAAAATAAAAACAACAGCAAGAAAAGATTTGGGTGTTAATGAGATTTAGCCGTAAATTTCAATGAAAAGTTAATGGAAGTCATTCAATTCATATTCTTTATTAGTGAATGAATGAACGAATGAATCGTGTGTACTGTCAGTTGTCGTCTTTCTATCCGGTAACCAAATTAACGCATGTTTGTATGTATGCACGTACTATCCTTATCCTTATCGTCGTTCTGTGTATGTCCTTAGAGTGCGTGTTGTGTTGTGAACGTTGAAATAAATAATTCGATTTAGGATTTAATTTGTCGCTCCTGGTAAAAGTGAAATAAAAGACGTTAAGAGAACTTGTAGAAGTTCGTGAGTGTGTGTGTTCGCTTGTACGCAAATTTTATGGAATAAAATACAACTACATACATACATATTTTTGGAGGTCTAAAATGTAAGTAAAGTACCATTGAGTTGTAATCAATTTTCATCAAAATTCATATACGAAGTGTTTGTTCAAATTACACAGGACTACAGAGAGACAGACAAAGACAAAGAAAATTACTTTTAGAGGACTTAGAGTAAAACACTTAGACCCCTAGAGAAAAAAGTTTTGAATATTTAAAGTA